GACCACTTCAGCTTAATGAGGTGGTCTGGGTGCCTGGTCCAGCTAGGTTTAACCCTTTTTTCTATAAACATAGCAGTTTCAGAGAAACTGCTATGTTTATAAATGGGTTAATCCAGCCTCTAGTGGCTGTCTCATTGACAGCCGCTAGAGGGCTTCCGCGCTTCTCGCTGTGATTTTCAGCCAAAGAGGAGGAGAGGAGGAGGAGATCTCCCCGCCCGGCGCTGAAGAAAGAGGTAAGTTTAACCCCTTCCTCCCCCCAGAGCCCGGCGGGAGTGGGACCCTGAGGGTGGGGGCGAGTATAGTGTCAGGAAAACGAGTATGTTTTCCTGGCACTATAGTGGTCCTTTAATGAAACGTGACAGTTTTTACATTTAATGCTCACAATTTATTACTATTATAATTACAATTTATATTGTGTAAAAATATTCCACATTGTGGATAAATCACAGAAAGTAATCGGCAGACAAAGTAAATGTTGGCAGGAAGAAGAGGTGAGGGTGTCTGCTCAAACAAACTTACACTTGCTCATCAACATCATTGACTTATAGTTTACTATTACGTTCATCTTCCCCCCACTGCACACCACACACACACACACACACACACACAAACACACTAACTAAACCCTTCAAACACTTCACTCCTGACACACTGCACCATTCACACAGACACACATAGACACATCACCTTTCATAGACACTACACCCTCCACACAGGCACACACATACACACACACACCACACCTTTTATACACACTGCACCCTTCACATAGACACACACATACACACATCACATTTCATACACACTGCACCCTCCACACAGACACACACATACACATTGCACCCTTCATACACACAGCACCTTTCATACACACTGCACCTTTCACACACACACTGCACCCCTCACACACACATATGCACCTCACACTGCACTCACACACAGCCTCACACTGCACCCCTCACACACACTGCACTCCCCTCACTGCACACCAAACAGACACACACAAACAAACACACACACACACTGCACTCCTCACACACTGCATATTTCACACACACACACACACACACACACAAACACAAACACACACTTCACATGGACACAAACACACACTGCACCTTTCACACAAACACACACACACACACACACTGCACTTCTCTACCCCCACTGCACATCAAACACACACTAACTAAACCCTTCACACACTGCACTCCTCACACACTGCACCCTTCATCCACACACTGCACTCAAACACTGCACCCTTCACACAGACACACACACTGCACCTTTCATACACACAGTGAACCGTTCATACACACTGCGCCTTTCATACACACTGTGCCTTTCACACACACACTGCACCCCTCACATACACAAACACACACACTGCAGCCTTCACACACGGTGCACCCCTCACACACACACACACACACACACACACTGCAACCCTCACACACACACACACATATTGCACCCTTCAAGAGCATTCAACCAACATGCTCAGTTTGAAAGGGGGCGTGCTTATCTTTGGTGATGACAAAACACCCTTTCTCAGTGGGCCACTGCGACTCAAATATGCCCGGGCTGAATTTCTTTCCCAGGCTGGCCCTGCTATACAGTGAATTGGGTTTCATACATTTTCTAGCGCTCCCTTTAACAACACTATGGTGGCATATGCTAGTGTTCAATAAATGAACTATAATAATTATATTGAGCAGATAAAGGCAACATTATTTTTGCCAGTGTTTTTGCAGCTCTAAGCTTGATGAAATTAGAATTATTGTGTTGGCCAGCAAGGCTGTAGACCTCTGACTAATTTTATGTTATAAAACATAGGAAGACCTAATGCCCCATTTTTATGTGACCTTTAACTTCAACTCTAGCCACTCAAAAATGTCTAACAGAGGCGCGGTCTTTATTATAATTATTTTTTCTTAATTTTAAAACCGTTGGCGCTACTACAAAGAGATATTTCCAGATGTAAATTGAAGACACCTACACAAACCACCTCCAAGAATGTGCACATTATCTTTTGAAGAAAAACATTCAGTTGATACATTATCTATGACTTTTTTTGTAGAAGATATACAAGTTATAGGAAAAGGAAAGTGTAAAGTGAGTGTGGACATATTGATATACCTCAGACCTGTTCAGACAAGGGTGGGTTAACAGTTCCATGATATATTGGGTAGGAAAACCTAAAAAAAAGAAATTCAGATCTACTTTGTAAAGAAAAACAGCATGCCAGATGAAGAAGACTTTGTGATAATATAGATAAAAAGGCTCTGTCCAAGATTAAAAGATCTTGATAGGAGCAGAAGCAGAGAGAGCTTTTTGTCCTATTAATTCCGAATCTACGCCCACGTTCAAAACAGAAAAATAACAGACACTATCACAGCACATAATCAGGGGATTTAAAGATGAAGATTTATCATGAGGGATTATATTGAACATCAAAAAAGTTCAAATACGCTTACGAATGGCTAGGGGCACCACTGAGATTTAAGATTCAGCAAGTAACCTGACTGTATTTTTTTTAGTTCTGAGAGTTTAAGGTTGACAACCATGTCTGTTTAATGTTGAGCGTGATAACCAAGGGAGCTACACACGTTCTCTCTTTTTAAAGCAGTATGTTTATAAAGAATTACAAAGGCCATGGATTACATAATAAGTACTTAACCTCTTAATAATATATCTGACCACCCTTGATAAAGTGATTTTTAAAAAAAAACAAAAAAACTTTTTATTAATAACAACTAGGTATGAACTTGGAGCTTAGTTTAGGAAAGCGCAGTAGAGTTTAAATTGCCACAGCACACATCAGCAAACAAGAAGAAGAGTTAGATAAATGACCAGAAAATATATTGCTGTATGGCAGATATCAGCAACCGACAGTATACCCATGTCATTTTTTGAATAAAAAGTACATTGCTCAAGTAAATGGAGATCAACAGGTGGCTTTTACTTACTTGTCCATCCACTTTTTAATCATATTATTCGTGGGATGAAAGTCCAGTAGACACAATTGTGCATGCGTAGTTGGCAATGGTAAATTAGCGAACATAAATCAAAAGAATTGCACGCACACTGCGGTGTTTTATTGAAAGCACTGAAGACCAAAAAAAGGGATTGACTAAGAGATCCCAGCTAGTTAATGGTTTCAATCTATATCACTACATCAAAGATAGGGCTGTTAAATAGTTACTTACACAATTATTTAAAAAATAAATAAAGGCCTTTATTATTATTTTGTAATTGTCGATGATCAACATCTCCTATTAACTGGAGTTTCAAGAACTAGTTTTCAAGCTGTCATATAGAAATATACATGTTTTTCTCCCCTTTGTGCGTCTCTCCTTATCCCCTCTTCCCTTTTGTGTCTCTACTTACCCCTATTACTCCCTTGTGTATCCGCTCCTTACCTCTTCACCCCTTTTTGTATTTCTGTTTTGCTTATGTATGCCTCGTATGTATCCCTTCCTCTGTATTCAAATAATTCCCTTGTGTGTCTCCCCTTACCCCTCTGTCTCATGACATTTACCTAGTTCTAGACTGTAGTGAGGTCAAACAGGACCACAGAAGGGACCCAGATCTGGGGTAACTAACAACCATGACAGGACATAGACAAGAGAATTGTCATTGCTTAAATAGAGGCTAACAACCAAAGTGCAAAAAAGGGACTTATGATAATGCTATAGATTTATAACAGCAGCTACTACACTAGTGCAAGTATCTCTCAAACTTGACACACAATCATGCAAAGCAATACAGTAAACTGAGTGACAAAAAGTCACTATCAGTAAACATCAATAAACATAGTGGAGCACTAAAAACATGCAGACTTACCCCATGTGTAAAAAGGTAGGTATGTTGATGGTTTTGAAAAAAATAGAAAATCACATATAGTGTATTAAATTAAGTGGGGAAAAGTGTATATTAGAAATACTGGATACACTCAAATGGGATAAAACCAAATGAGGATAAGATCATGTCACAAAAGCATATGTGTACTCTGGATATCAGAAGTACATGTGGACATCTTTCAATGCAATTGTATTCTTTTATTTGGCTTGATTTTAATTTTGTTTTTAATTGAATTGCTTAAATAAATTGTATCAGCCTACCTAAACAATCCTGTGTTTTTTTGAATTACCTACTTCCAGTATAAAGAAGGGTTGTGTGTCCCCTTTATTTGCACACAAGGTATCATACCTACAGCCATTATATTACAGGCTCTTGAAAAGGTGAGAAGTCATTTGAGCACTTGGACTGCACTTATACAGTTTTAACTTTGTCACACTAGAAGCTATATGCTCCGCCCCCACCTCCTTGGCTGAGATAAACAGAATTGGCGATCTCAGCCATTCCAAAAGCATTGGATTGGCTGAGATCATCAATTATGATGATGTCAGCCAATGAGGTGGATCAGAGGCGGGGGCAGGGTTAGCACTAAAAAAAAAGTGAGTAAACTACTTATTAAAGTGGGGCGGGGGGGGGGGCAGGGGCTCTATTGTGATTTTAACACTATAGGTTCTGGAATACATGTTTGTATCCTTTAATATAATACACTACATGTGATTTACAAATTTTTAACCATTAACTTACATCCCTTTGTATACTTCGGGGTATGCCTGCATGTTTTCAGCACTCCACTAGGTTTACTGATAGTGACTTTGTGTCATGCAGTTTACTGTTATTACTTTGCTTAGAGGCTAATTGTAATTGACTAGTGACTAGTGTCAATTGGGAACAATGTAACCACTACATCATTCTGGCTGTGTGAGTGGCCCGTTGTGGAGAAGTCTATGTAAAAAAGGTTGCCAGTAAGATGCATGGAGTCACATGTGCTACGCCAACATGGAGAAGTGAAAGGTAACATGACAGCAGCAAACAGAGTGCTAAGTGAGCAGAGAGAGGGTCAGATATGGTGTTCAGTCATATTGCCTTGGCCTCCCTTTACAAGCTGCTTCTCGGAGGCAGGAGCCGCATTGACAGACCTGGTAGTGGAACATAGAAACATAGAATGTGACGGCAGATAAGAACCATTCGGCCCATCTAGTCTGCCCAATTTTCTAAATACCCACATTAGGTCCCTAGCCTTATCTTAGAGTTAGGCTAGCCTTATGCCTATCCCATGCATGCTTAAACTCCGTTACTGTGTTAACCTCTACCACTTCAGCTGGAAGGCTATTCCATGCATCCACTATCCTCTCTGTAAAGAAATACTTCCTGATATTATTTTTAAACCTTTGCCCCTCTAATTTAAGACTAGGTCCTCTTGTTGTGATAGTTTTTCTTCTTTTAAATATAGTCTCCTCCTTTACTGCAGTGCCTCTGCCAATGTCTGACTTGGCCATGCTTGCAACGAGTGGCAGTGTGGGAAGCTGAAACCCTCTGCATCCCTGTCCCCTTCCCCATATTATGCTACTGTTTGGCAGAGTTAAATATCATCAAAAAAAGAGCTTTAAGAGCCCTTATGACAAATAGTTTTGCATTATAAGTTCCAGATGAGAAACCACTGTTATGGAATGCCGAGAAGCAGAAGTGTTTACAGTACATAAAGAATCCAAAAACATGGGTTGATAAGCAGTGACAGAAAGTCTTATTGATTAACAAGCAGTGGCAGAATAATTCAAATTTTAAAATCCAAAAAGACTGTGTGCAGATGTATATGAGGCATAGTAGTGCCTCTATCGTAGTCTAGAGGAGAGACGATTCCACTTGAGGTTCAAACGATGTTGTAAAACTGGTGGCATCATGAATGCTGTAAAATATAAACAGTGTCTTGATTTGTTATGATTTACTTTCAAAATGACCAGCTGGATTACCTTATCCGATAATAAATATCTCTTACGCTCAGCAAACTAAATTGTGCAGAAATCTACCAATGGAACACACACAGTTATAGATTGGCTACCTCAGGATCTGACATAAACATAACGAAACTGCTTTATAAAGCTTTGACAAAGAGAAAAAAAGTCTAAAGGAGTGTTATGCCAAGAGACATTAAAGGACCACTCTAGGCACCCAGACCACTTCAGCTTAATGAAGTGGTCTGGGTGCCAGGTCCCTCTAGGATTAACCCCTTTTTTTTTATAAACATAGCAGTTTCAGAGAAAACTGCTATGTTTATAAATGGGTTAATCCAGCCTCCAAATCCTCTAGTGGCTGTCTCATTGACAGCCGCTAGAGGCGCTTGCGTGCTTCTCACTGTGAAAATCAGCCGAAGAGGAGGATCGGAGGCGGAGAGGAGGAGGAGAGCTTCCCGCCCGGTGATGGAATAAAGGTGAGTTTAACCCCTTTCCTCGCCATCCAGACCGGCAGGAGGGGGTCCCTGAGGGTGGGAGCACCCTCAAGGCACTATAGTGGTCCTTTAAAGGAACGCTATGGGGTCAGGAACACATGTCTGTGTTCCTGACCCTATTGAGTTAAAACACCATCTAGCACCCCTAAATATACTAAAATCTTAATTGTATTAAAGTCTGCAGCTGCTGACTCTGACCCTGATCTGCCTGCTTACAGCTGACTTCATCAGAGTTGATTCTGTGAGCCAATCACAATGCTTCCCCATAAGATTGGCTGAGAGTGTCAAGAAGGCAGATC